GCAGCACTCAGGCACTAGGATCCAGGGAATATCACATTCCCTGGTTAAGCTTCAGAAGTTTTTGGAAGCTCAGAACATCTGGTTTGGCTGTGAACTCTCACCTGAAAAGTAGCAGGCATGTTTCTGAGGAACAGAAGGGACAGTGCCTAGCTGCCACAGCTGCTACTGCAAGCCATTTGCTCATCCTGTGGGTGTTAATGCTCTTCTGCTCAGGAAGATGAGCAAACTCTCTCAACTCCCTTCTCAGGAGCCACTCTAACCACCATAATGACAACTAGGAAGACCTAAAAGACAACAGATTTTGTTACAAGCCTGTTAGAAGTCCTTGCAAGTCTTCTAAGGTGGATTAAGCACATTTTAAGCCCCTTATTGATTTAAGGGCATCCCAGCACAGCAGTTGTGTTGCTACACTCATTGAGTTTGAAGCTTGCAAGGTAAAAGCAGGGAATGCACAGATGCAGGTGGCACTCTGCCTGATATACAACCTGCCTATTCAGAAGATGATGGCCATGTGTCTCTTCTTTCTGACTCTCCAATAACCAGTTCTCCCCAATATCACTCCTTGAAAGTCCTGTTGGATCACCTTATGGGTATCAGTTCCAAGCACACAATGAGATGATGCACAAAGATCAGAGAGATAAATCTTAAATCAGATTTCTTTTGCTGAGCTTTAAGATTTTATTTTATATTAATGGGTAATTTTAGAAATAGCCTTAATTTTCACCATTTGAAGACGAAAAGTAGATGATGGGTAGTCATAGTCATGAATATGTTGAATAATGAAGGACTCACAGAAGCACAGAAATGTCTAGGTTGGAAAAGACCTTGAAGATCATCCAGTCCAACCACTGACTTAACATTGACAGTTCCCAACTACACCAGATCCCTCAGCGCTAAATCGACCCTACTCTTAAAACACCTCCAGGGATGGGGACTCTACCACCTCCCTGGGCAGCCCATTCCAACAACCCGTTCTGTAAAGAAATGCTTCCTAATATCTAATCTAAACCTTCCCTGGCGCAATTTGAGGCCATTACCTCTTGTCCTATCGCTTGTTACTTGGTTAAAGAGGCTCATCCCCAGCTCTCTGCACCCTCCTTTCAGGTAGCTGTAGAGGGCGATGAGGTCTCCCCTCAGCCTCCTCTTCTCCAGACTAAACACCCCCAGTTCCCTCAGCCACTCCTCGTACAACATGTATGGACCACGGACTCATAAGGTTGCATAGCACTGTAATTAGTTAATATTCAGAATGGGCAAAACTACCTACCAGTTGTAACAACTGATGAACAGAAGATAATGACAATATATTTAATTGATATAAAATGCTCTATCTACTGAGCAAACTATTAGAAGAAGGAATAAAGTTAGATTAAGAAATTATATTTCATAATAAATCCAGCATTTGTCTGTGTCCTAAATTTGGATTAAAGGATTAGTTAGGATTTCCATGAAATAGAAATTAAAAAAGTTTTAATTCAGCAACATCAAAAATGCATTATCTTTCATGTAACAGACCCACCCCATTACATTCAACTAGTACGAAATACTTGGTTTCAAATTAGACCTCTCTTAAGCACCAATAGCAGCACATTTCAATTTGCCCAAAACTCAGATTCTCTACAATCTTCACTAGAATGCATCTTCCACAATATTCACAAAGTCAGGTGATGCCCATGGCACATGTTTTTATGGAGGATGCTTACATCATGGAAGTAAATGCAGACGGCCACTAGAATATAATGGGGACCTAAAGCACAATTCCCACAAAGCAATACAATGACAGAGAAATAGGATTAAAATTTTGTCAGGCAGCCTAGCTGACTGAAAATGCTTCAAGTCAGTTCAGAATTTCTAACTCTGCCTCAAAGCATGGGAATTCCAGCCCTGGGGTTCAAAATAACATGTTCAGAGAGAAAGGCCTGCAGCCCAGTGGTGTGTGCTGTCATCTCGTCTCAGGTTTTTGCCTTTCTATCTCAAGCACAGCCAGTGCTGAGAAATGGAAATGACACACAGGTTTCCAGGCCTTGATCCTTCTCTTGGGCCATGTAACACAACATGAGAGAGGTCACAGGTGTGACCCCTCCCATAACCTGTGGGACAGGTTAGGATGCATAGTGTGATCCTGACTTAGTTCAGCAAAAACAAACACTCCAATTCACCTTGAAGTCAATCAATGGTTTGGATTTTCCTGACTTCTTTTTTTCTCCTATCATCAAAATTTTCCTTGGGGAAATCTGACTTGGTAAAAATCCTGCTTTCCTTCGGAAAAATCCTACAGATGGAAAACTCCCACATAGCAATAGTAGTGACCTCAGAGATATCCAGCCATATCCATGCTGGCTTTCAGCCTATCTTCTCCCCATCACTTGAAAAGCAACAGCCCTTGTGCTGTCCAGGACAGCCTAGCCTCACCTGGGCCTGGCCTCACATAGCTAAGGAGGAAAGTGAGTTGCAGAGTTGTCAGGCTCAGAAAAGGTCTGCAGCCTGGATGTCTGTTCTTTCCCCTGCTGCAGCAGCAGCAGGGGGAGTGGAAAGGCTATTGCGAGATCCTCCTGCCTCAAGACATGCAGGTTTTAAAAGAGTTGATGCAGCTAAAAAAAAACAATAGGCAGACTGAGTTCATTTGTAGCAGCGGAGGGGGGTAGTTGTAGGGGAAGGGGGGGGACACGACACTTAGCATGAAGCTCTGCTTCTTGATAAGGGGTATCTAGATAGGGCTGCGGAAGTCTAATCATCCAAGACAGATTTAGATCCATTTTGTAGCAGCATGCACACCTATTAAAGTTACCAAAAGTAGGGCCAGCAGATTAAGTACTCTCATAATGGTCATCAGTTTTTCCTCTTTCAATACTCAAGCACAGAGAAGTGAAGTGGCTGGTCTGAGACCACAAAAGCCTAATGATGAATTTACCTACTGCATCTCCTGAGCACCTGGGAAATTTTGGGGTCATAGCTCCATCTCTGTGCTCAAACCACTGACTCAATGCCCTTCCCAGAAACAGAATCATGACAAGCCTTTTGATAATAGCAGAGAGTGCAACTGTGTAACACACACATCCACATGCTTTCTGCACACTCTACATCAACACTAGGCAGCCTGGATGAAGATTTTTCCACTTCTTCAGTTAGATGCTTAATACATCTACTGAATATAACAAAGTTGCAGGATGAACACCTTTTGGAAATGCTTTTGCCACTCACCATCTCTTTTACATGATCTTTAAGCTCTTTTTCCTTGCATACCCAGGGCTGTTCTTGAATATCTGCACACACTGCAGCAGAGCCCTTGGAATGGTGCATTTTCTTGACTCAACCAAACTCTGCAGCTCTATTTGCTGCCCACTTCCCTGGCCTCAGCCTTCAGCTCCATAGCTGAAATTGCTCACCCTCAGGCACAACACACTCAACTCTCCCACTCTTGGGAATAAAAGCATTTTGATACCTCAGTCACCAGTCCACGTGAATGACAGGTTAAGAGAAAACGCTGCTTACTCCTTTCCCCAATCTCTTACACATTAACAGGCAATCAATTACAGAACCACAGGGAGAATACAGCTGTGCTGGCAAGAAGAGGTTGGAGGGAAGCACTCTCCCTTGCAATTAAGTCAGCTGACATAACACCCAGGCTGATGCAGGCTCTAGGTACTGCTGCGCTGCATAATTTTCTTTTGATTTTCTATGAAAACTCTTCAAAAGTTCCTAGGTCTATTTCTCTCTCTCCAGGTTAGCCCTCTCTTCTGCTCTGCCACAGAGGTGCTCCAGTATCACTCCCATGAGGGGTTAGTTTTTCAGTCTCTTCCTATACAAGGAGCCCCCAGGGCTTTGCTTCAGAGTGACTACCCTGTCCCTCCTTTAGCACCTGAATGTGCCAAGAAGAAACACTGGGAATGGGTCCAAGTGCTGGAGGAGGGACAGAGTCAGTGCTGACAGTCAGAAGTGCAAGTAAAAGTTCACATTCAATCACAGGAGATTCAGCAATGACAAATCACAGAAACCCTGCCAGGCAACAGGCCAGTGCCCTAGAGATGGCCATGCTTTCCATGTAGCATAATAAAAGAGGAAGAGTCAGTGGGGCAATATAGAGTGATTATTTCCACAGCTGGATAATAGTAATGAGAGACATTCAGAATCTCTGAAATTAAGCTAGAAACAGTGAATTCTGCAGAGGCCTGGGCTAGAGCCTGCACCCTGCTCTGTCCACTCCAGAGTTGAACATTCCCAGTGACAGAGTGTAATCAGGCCCATTCAATGAACAAAAATAAAATGAGTGCTCTCCCCACATGTGCATTTCTTTCATTCCACAGGAGTCAAAAGAACTGTTGGTGTGGTGGATTTACCCCAGTCAATAGACAAGTACACACACAGCTGCTTGCTCACTGGACATCTGTCTCCAGTCAACCCACCATGGTTGGGTAAACACAGTACACTTTCTACTGGAAGGTGAATGATCCTGTCCTTTTTCCAGTTAGAGAATGTAGGAAATAAAGGGAGTATCTGTAAGTCCAGGCATGTTTGCTCACATGGGGCCTTGCTTGTGTAAGTATACCCAAGCATCCCCAGATACTAGAGCTTTCACCTCAAGGTGCAGACATCTCTACAGAGACACCATGTCTAGGCAGAGACATCTACTCTTCAAACAGGCCTTAAAAACACGTTCAGAGTGCAAAGAATTTCCTTTTCAGGCCTCACTCCACTAGCAGAGGCAGGAAGATCCACTAGACCAGACACCCAGATGTGGTAGCCAGCCAGGCTAGGAACCTGACAAAGGTTCCTACCACCACAAAGTCTAACTTCATGTCCAGGTTAATTTGGAAGGACCAGAGCTGAAAAGGAGGAGAGAGGAAGCACATAAAAGGATGGAGGGTTAGGTGCATTACATTCACCCTCCCTTTTCCCCCTTTTATATGACATGGAAACACTGCAATCTCAGCAATGCCTGGGGCCGCCTCCCTTTTTTGTTATGGAGTGAATGTCTCAGTTTCCCTCCCTTCCCACCATACCTTGAATAGTCCTCTTGAAGAAGGCTTTGCACGCCTCACAGGAAGCCACGCCGTAGTGGTACCCCGAAGCAATGTCCCCACACACCAGGCACAGCCGCTTGGGGATTGCATTGAGCATGTACTCGCACTTGGTGGGTGAGTCCTCCATGATGGCGCTGGCGCAGTCGTCGTAACGCTTACGGCAGGACCCACCACCAATCCCTGTGCCATTGAACATGGGTGGTGAGTCCAGGCCATTGGGGTGGCCACCCATGGCAATGCCGTAGCCACCGCTAGCGTCGGAGGAGCCACTTGGGCTGTGGTGGCTGATGGCGTCGATGCCAGAAGATGGGCTGGAGGGCTCGGTCTTGATGAAGGACCCACAGCTGGAGGAGAGGTGCCGCTCCTCCGTGGCCATTCTGCCGAGCAGCCTGCGGGGAGAGAGCAAAGGCACTCAGCGGCCTCCTGGCCAAATTCAGCTCCAGGTTGGTCAAAAAAGAGCCCTCCTTTTCCCACCTCCGACCAACTCCAGTTGGCTCAGGCAGTTCAACCCCTCCCAGGTCCTTCTCCTTTAGGAATATCCGTACAACTCACTAAGAACAGTCCGCCTACTCCCACAAACTCACACTAGAATAAAAGATAAGGCTATTCATGTAGATCATAATTTCAGACTATTCACAGGCTGCAGTACTGGGAAGGGGCATCAGTGCTAATGAGGCAAAATCTACCCAGAGCACAATATCTACCCCTGGGACAGCAGGAAGAAATGAGCCTGTCTGTAGCAGGCCAGGTGAAAAAGATGTTTGGTTAGTTCAGGTTGTACTGCCCTGGTTCTAGGCAAAAAGTTCACTAGTAGACCATGCAGAAAGGACCTGCTCAGACTGGATTTCATTTATAATACAGAAGTCTTTAATTTTCATGTTGGATTCCTTCCCTCCCCGCCTTCACTGTCATCACTAAAAGAGAAGCTTAGAAACTGAAGGAAAATAATCTGATCAAAAGTTTCCTCCATCTTAATCTTAAATCTTAATCTTCCTTCTATTTACTAGTATAGGGCTTTTGCATGGAGATGCTTCTCTCAAATTCCCACTTCCTATAGAGAGGGTTATGCTCTTAAGTATATGGGAAGGACTGCATCTTTACCAAATTTGCAAGCTCTTATTTATTTTAGTCACAGATAGCCTTACTTCTTATATAAATGTTCAGTCTTTTTTTAGAACACTGCTAATTTTTATGATATCTTACAGCAGTGATTTTCAGGGATTACTCGTGCAGTGTATGAACAAACAAAAAAATCCCACTTTTATTTGCCTATACTGCATTTATAGCCTTTCAGGCTCCCTGAACATCTCCTGACTCTCCTTCTCATGAAATGTACTTTTTCCATGTTCTCCTCATTCAGCTCTTTGTTATCTATATTACTGTTCTCCATGCAGAAGCTTTTGCATACCTCTTATCTGCTTCATCATCCATCTCTGAACTTCCTCTAATCTGGCTATTTCTGTTCAGTCTAGAACAGAGTTCAATGAGCCAGCTCCTCAGCAGCATGAAGCTGGCACTGCTCCATCACTTCTCCAGCTGAAGGTCTGGACAGTAGTCAAGACAAAGGCACGCCATCAATTACCTCCTGACGTTACCATATTTTCAATGTTATTTTCAGCCTATGTATTATATAACTTCTTATATTGTTTGCTTTTTCAGTCTTTAAATTAAAACCTAAATTGTTAGCATTTCTTCAACAGGGAATATCAGGAAGTTAATTATCGCAATCCTCAGATCTTTTTCTGAGTTGCTACAGTTAATTTAGAATCCATTAAGATGTATGAAAAAATCAAATTAATGCCTTCTGGTGTGCAATGTTTTGCAATGGTCAACAGTGTATTTCATCTATCACTGTGCTGTCCATGCACCCAGGTTTATTAGGATCCTCTGGAGTTCTTCAGTTTTCCTTAATAATTTGATGTCATCTGCAGAGATTCATTGTTTACCCACTTCCCAGATCATTAACACGTGGATCAAACACCACAACACTGATCTTTGTGGGTGATTCGTGTTAACCTTTATCACGCTGGAAATTGACTTCTCTTCCTTTTCTGGGTAGAGTATGCCTACTCTTTCTTTTCTGTCTCAGCCACTTTTAAATTGATAATAGTATTAACCTGAGAGGTTAAATTTTCCCTTCAGCGAGATAATTTTTCAAAGGCTTTTAAGAAAACCTAAATGCATGCATTTTCCTGATGACATGTCCAAAGAATTCTGACTGACTGGGGATGTTTGAGTTTTCTTCTTGAAATCTCTGCTGGTCATGTTGGCAATTTCTAGTTCTATTTCAGTTTCAGCCTATTTATGTGGTATTTGTATCAGTTCCTTCTGCCAAGAGGTCAAACCATCATGGGACAGGACAAAACATTCTGTGTTACAGCAAGGCTGGAATGCACAGATATTACATCTGTGTGCCCGTTGATATGAATGTAGATGTTTGATATGCAGCAACTTCACAGTCCTGCGTCCTTATGATCTCATTTGACCCAAGTATCTCCTAATTTTCCCTTCTCTGTTTCATCCTCGACGTTTGACCTCATCTCCTATCTCTGGGATCGATCAGCCAAGTTTGTTATTTGGCAAGACTGTTGACCTTGAGAGTATGGGCAGGCATCTCACGTTCCTCAGCTGCTTTGCTTGGTGTTACCTGAGAGGAATCCAGAGTTTGGACCCTCTCAGAGATAGTGTGATGAGTTGATGAATGCCCATGCCTTGCCCATAGGGTCACAATGGAATAGAGACCATGAAGCAGTTACAGGAATAATTGCTGCAGGTGCATTCATCTTTAATCCCACAGGGCACCTAGACAGATTGCAGATCTCCTGGTGTAATGAGCTGACTGTGGAGGAAGATGAAGCTTTGCTAGCTGAGACCAGATCTTAGCATTTCACAGCAAGGCTGAAAGCTGCTGTGCTGGTCGGATTCTGGAACCTTCCACTACCTGAGAAGTGCATTTGTAGTAAAAATCTGAAGATCCTTGGGCACAATAACATGAGAGTAGGGTCTAAATGGAAGGCAAAACCCACCATTAAACAGTGTTCTGCACTGAGGAACTCCACAGTAAAAGGAGTTGGCGTAATGTTAAGGGCTGACAGAGGACAACATTATGAAAAAGGCACGACAAGGAGGTAAGCTGTACTGTCAGATTCAGTCAGCAGAGTTCAAATCTCAGCTTTTGTCTCTTAAAAAAGCCCAAAATTCACAGACGACCTCAAGAGGACCCACTAAGATATTTCTCTCCACTGGGGAAAAAAAAGGGGAGATCAGTCTCCTAGGACCAATTCACTTCTCAACTCACAATCTCAATTAAGGAGCCTTACCTCCCAGGGCAGGCAAACAGTGACTGATGGTGAATGAAGAATAGCAACAAAGACCCTATACCCTTACAGCTGAGGACACTCCTGTTCCCTTCCAAGAGACAGTAATACATAGCAAGTTCTGGTTAGATAGGAATGCATGCTTTAGAGGCAAAAGTCCTTAAACACCAAGACAGATCAAAGATCATAGCTAAGGTGACTTCACCCATTCCAGAGCTTGTACTTTTCTTTTCTGGCCTCTGGTACAACTTACATAGTGGATTAGTGCTGGGTACCACACACTGAGTTAAGCTTCACCAGCTCTGACTTTCTGCAAGTCTCATGGAGATCCTGTGGTGATTTTAAAACAGACTCAGAGTGTCCCCTGGCAATGAAATACAACATCTTGAACTTCAAGAAGAACAGCTAAATGTTTTTTGCAAAGAGTTCAAAGTGATGAACAGCCATTTTGCTCAGCTCTAGTTACCTTAATAGGAATGTAAAAGGAGAGAGACTTGATCCAACTCTCCTCCGTGCTGGCACAGGAAACTCCGTTACTATTTCTGTGTCCATGTAACAGGCTTAGAGGTTCTAAACATTTCGTTCTTTTCACCTTTCCTCATCATAGGTCGTTCCCTCTAATCCCTTTAGCATCTTTGTGGTCCTTCTCTGGATTCGTTCCAATTTGCCTGGGTCTCTCTTGCAGCAAGGTGCCCCAAATCGCACAGTGCAATGCCACAGCACTACAGGGGAGAGTCACTCTGGAAAGCACGCAGCCAGGCAGACATATGGACCAACTGAGCAGTAGCTCTGCCAGACATCAGGTTGCACATCAGCTCACATCATTTGATAGCCATTGTCTCATTGGGACCTCTCTGAACATAAGCTGCTTTTGCCACTGTGCTCTGTACAACATGAAATTTGGAGATTCTCCTTGTTCCAAAGTACATCCAGTATCATCTTTAAACCACACACTGCTAATTGCCACTTGTTTTACCAAACCCTGTTAATAATGCTCATTTTTTCAGCTTAGTTTTTCTTTTTTATACTCTGATTTTTTTCCTAGTATCTTTCAGTTCTGTCAACCCTAAATTTGAGAACTATGCCTTTTACATTTTCCTCCAGGTCACTAATGGATATTTAAAACCAAAACACAGCCCTTTTGGACACCACCTTTGCAGAAAGATAAAGAATGTCTCTAACCCTTCTGTTTACACTCTGTCAGATAATCCATGATTCATTTCACAGGATTTGTATCAAAACCAATTTCATCTAATTTCCCTAATAAGATCTTGCACAGCTTTGTGTCAAAAGCCCATGCATGGTCCAGAGACAGTCTATCCACTGCATTCCTTTTGTCCACTAATTATCTAATTGTATCAAGAAAGGTTATTGTTTGCTGTACTCCTGTTTCACAAACCCATTGCTGTTTACCACTAACAACATTGTTAGCCTTTCCATGCCTATAGCTGCTCTCAGACGAGCATGCTCTGATCTCAGCAATTCCGGGTGTAAATACACAGGTTTAGACCAAGTCAAGATTGCGCTTTAGGTTTTTAGCCACTAATGTTATCTCCCTCGGGCAGTGATGTTGGGTTACAAGTTTCTCCAATTCTTCTCCACCCTTTCATCTTTTGCTATTTCTCTGTAATGGCTGGATGGCTTATAAGTTTAATGCTCTCTTGAGAACAACAGCAATAATAAGAGAGGGAAAGAATGCTAGATGGATAGGAACAGAAAGGGACAAAAGATTAGTGTTATAAAATCAAAGCAGTAAATATTGCCCCCCATTTTTCTTGTCTTAAACTTCAAGGATTACAAATTTGGGATTCATGCTGACAAGGCTATTCTATTGCACATCCTTTGAGGTTATTTTTGCCAGAAATAGTAATTTGTAGCTATGTTCACCTCTTTACCCCACTTCCAGACATGAAAATTACAGGAGTTCAGTCCTCTATCTACAAGCCTTCACCTGACTCAAGAAAACAAGGCCCACACCTGCTTAGCAAGACAGCCAGAACAATATCCAGCTTTGTAAGAGAAGGTAACTTTTTACCACTGGAAGAACTCTTTACTGGCTAAAGGTATCCACA